ATGGCCGCTGAGCCTGCGCGTCCGGAGCCTGTGCTCCACAGCAGGAGAGGCCACAACAGTGAGAGGCCCCCGGCCCGCACAAAAAAAAAAAAAAAAAAAAAAAAAAAAAAAAAAAAAAGCAAGAGGAGAGAAAATACATTGAGAGAAAAACTGTTAAAGAGAAAGAAACCAGGACCTGATGGTATTGAAAGGTCTCTGCCTATCCAAATGGCAAAAGATGTTAAAATTAAGAGATTTGCCATCAGGAGAGAATGATCTAGAAAAAGCTGAGGGTACGACGCTACAGTCCTTTGCTGAAACCTGGGAAAGTTAACAAAAGATCAGAATTCTCATGTTAATTCAAATTAACGGAAAAGGAAGGCCGGTTCAGTTCCCTAACCGCCACTAGTATCTGTTGTGTTGCTCCCAGAAGTGACTTAAGACTCCTTAAAATTTGATTAGGTCCTTTAAGCCACCCACGTAAACATGCTGTTTAGATAAGAACAAAGTGCTTGCTGTGAAAACACAGCTTCAAGGCAAATCTCTTTCCATTCCTTCCACTCCCTTTCAACCTTACTACTTTCCCTGTAATAGCTCTATATATAAATTCTGGAGTTATCACTGTTGGGTGGTAGCAAGTTACTTGGTTCACATCCTTTGATATGATGACATTTTTAAAAATTAGAGTATTTTGGACAAGTACATGGAGAGACTTAGACTGTCAAGGTTTTCAATTCTTAGATTGGAGAACTGGTTTAGGGGTTACCCGCATTACAGCATAGGTCTGGCGTTCAAGTGAATGGTGAGTTCAGGTGCCAGAACTTCTGCTAGAATTATGGTCTGGCTTTCTATGTCGTCCTCCACGGCTAGCACAAATCACAGAGATAACTGAGAGCTATGTATGCACTTCTGCACGTCTAGCTACCCTACAATAAGTTTTAGTATTTTGAATATCTATTTTTAAAATTTAGTTTGAATACTAAATTGATACAGTTTTAAGCTTCACACCACTGTTTATTTAGGTCAGAGAGATTTCTTGGGAGTTACTATTTATAGACTGTTAAAGACCCCTCAGGCAATGTCCAGGCTGTTGCATGTGGACAGTTTCTTGAATTATAGCACAGAAACTTTAATACCTACCTCAGGAATGATAGGGGTCTTAAATAGGCAGTATATTTACTAAAGAAACCTACAGTTTTCTTAGATTGCCAACCTTAGTAAGACAAGAAATGTCAGGGTGACAGAGTTTAAGTGGCTCTTTTCAGATATGTTACACTGATTGTCTATATTTAAGATGCAAAACAGCCTCCCAGGAACTATTTAATTAAGTGAAAGTAAGTCTAGTCCCTTTGGAATCGAATGGTTCAGTGAGCAAATACATATCAGCAAGTGAAGGAAGTGGGGTAACTTATTATGTGCTTCATAGACACAGTGACACTTTATAACCCCATATCAAGGATCCTAAACAGTGATTGGTTGAGAAAATTATCAAACTGACTTTAAATTTCGGCAGGTACAAAATTGTCATGCAAAAGTCCAGGACAGTGTTCCACTCAGTCCTCAAAGAGAAAGATAAGAAATCCTGGATTTTCAAAGTCCCTTTGAAGGCTTTTAAGGTAAGATGGACCCAACTGATTTCTTTGGAAAGAAATTTGAATTTCAGAGAAGCAAACTTGATTTAAAAAAATGAATAACCCTTATGATTAGACATTTTCCTTCCCTTTTGGCTTGTCAAATTAAAATTATGTTTTAAAAGATAATGGAAAATTGTGTGGTAAGTGGTGCTAATTCCACCTAGCAAAATATTGCATCACTGAAGAATAAGATTTTTTTTCCACAGCCATTATGTTAAAATATCAGTTGCTATTAGCCAGTAAAAGTATACGTAAGATGAAGCACATATTTGATATCTAAAATATTAACAACGGAATGAGTGATTAGAATATTTTATGCATAATTCACTAAAGCTCCATTACTGTTAGTTTTTATGCATCTCTTTCAAATAGTAACATTTAAACACTGACTGTATTAAGAAATAAACATGGATTTAGGAATTTGATTTAACACATTATGTTACATTTATTTCAAAGTTTGGCTAATCTAGTCAGTAGTAAACTCTATGAGGATAGGACTCATATCTGTTCCCAGGGTTCAGTATCTGGCCCACATTAGGCCCTCAAATGTTTGTTGAATGAATGAATGAATCTCAGTTTACATTTAATTTTTTGGTCCCTGAAAAATCAAACTTTGGCCTAAAATAATAATAATAAATTATTATTATTTTACCAATTGACATTAGGGTTTTAAAACTAGATTAAAATACTTCTACTTAGGATATCTGGAGAGTCTGACTTCTGTCACACACTTTTTCTGTTTCATGATATAATAATAGGTTTGGAAGATAAAAGACATGTTACTAAAAAATTGGTAAACTGAGGTAGAAACCTTGTAATTATCTGGTTGTTTTTATTAGTTTTGATAACAAATTAGATAACCAGATATAAATAACTACCTTGGGTTTTGAAACAGGGCTTTATTTAAGCTTTGCTTTTCAAGGTTTTATAAACTTGTTCAAATTAAGTAATATCTCATTTTGTTTGTGATAATACATAAAATAATCTTAAGGGGGTTCACACAATTCTGAAGCCTCTGCTTTCAGACTGACAAAACTGAGGCCATTTCTATAGTAGTCTTTCAAGCCATTTACCTACCTGTGGACACAGTGGCAAGTAGCGTCGTGCACTGTGCAATTGTTCTGGAGTAGATTTGAAAGAGAGCTAAAGTGGTCAGATTGCTGGATTGCAGTTCAGAAATGGGATGCACATAACTCTGTCCTTCACTATAAGTTCCTTTCCCGGATACCATGTTTCCTCCAAATCACAGTGTAGACTGGTCTTTTGCAGAGTCTATGTAATAATTAGGTTTGGGACTGCAAAGTACAATATAACCTCTGCTTACTAAACAGCTGCCCTTCAACATCTATGCCCCAGAGCTCTGCATTATAGTGTCCTGAGGTCACATCAGCCTCGTTTTTAATCTATAGCATTTTTGAAAGAGGTCTAGCTATTCTTGGCTTTCTGTTGAACAGCTATAAGAGAGTAAGCACATTTTTCCCCCTCTCAATAGCTCTGGAACTGGGTCCTCTCTCCTGTGAAAATGCCAATACTTCTAGGACAGTCGATATTCACTGCGGTTTTATCATGCTTCCACTATCAACATTAAATTCAATCAAGGCTATCTTATGACATACAATATTATAATCTATAAATCCAGTGGGAGTGCATGAAATAGAAGTAAAATTCCTCCTTCCTTTCTATAGTAATAGCATCATTATATCAAGAAATCCAACTTGCAGTAAACAGCGGTTTAAAATTTTGATTCTCATGAACTCAATGTCTGTCCCAATGTATCAAAACTGTACATTAGATCGTTTCTGAATGTGGATTCTAACAGGAATGAAGGATCATGTTTTTAGAGGTCCCAAATAATAATCGCTATCATTTACTGAGACTGTTAAATACCCGGAACAGTGCTACATGTTGCTTAGAGTAATAAGTATATATTCATCAGCAACATTTACAAAATAGCTTTTTCTGTGCTGTGGTTTGGAATACAGTGATCACCAAGACACTCTCCTGGACCTCAGGAGCTCTCAGTAGAGTGGGGGAACATATAAGTAGCCACCAGGCTACTTTAAAACAGTGAAAACTGTGCAGCGCTACTAGCAAGGTGTGCAGAAGCTCCTGGGTGTAAAGAGGAGAGAGACACCAAACGCCCTTTGACATGAAGTCAGAGAATGTTTCTCAGAGAAAATTCTTCTGCTAAGATAATTGGGATAATCCTGAAGTGCAGGTATTCTTATTATCCCAGACCGAGGAATCAAATGCTTAAGAAAGCTACTTAAATTCTTCGAGCTCACACATCAGGTAGCAAAGATAGAATTGGAACCCAGGTCTCTGAATCCAAACTCCATGTTCTTTCATCTTCATGCTAGTAACTTCTTTTCTGTACAGTCTAGCCAGCCCAGTAGTGTGGCTTTGGGGTGGGGATGATAAACACAATCTTTTAAGCACAATCTTAGCAGAATTAGTTAATCCTTGATTAAAACTATTCAGAAGACACATTATTGCCATCAGGAACAACAGAAGGAGAAAGTTATAGTTATGGTTTTTGTAACTGCCTGGCTGAACCCCTTCATTGGCAAAGGCAGAAAAAGCCTAGGTAGTGCCATCAGTGCTGAGCTGGATGACGCCATTGTATGTCACTGTGACTCCAGGTGTGCTCTGGAACACTGAGTCTTGACAGCTTCTTTTGATGTTGGGTCCATACTCCTTGCCTAGGAAAAACGCAAATGCTTACAGGCCAAAATAATACATTATATGGTTATCATATTTTGCTTTATAAGTAATTTTGTGCTGTTCTTCTTTCTTCAAAAACAGCCACTGATTAATATTTCTAAAGGAAATGAAGATAATTATATATTTTTGCATTTGGACAGTAGCATGGGCCATTCCAGTAAGTATGCCTTCCTCATAAAACCCTTCTTTTGTTATCTCTTTTAAGCTAACATTTATATATATATATATATATATATATATATATATATATATATATATATAT